ACACACACACACACACACACACACACACACACACACACACACACACACACACACACACACACACACACACACACACACACACACACACACATACACACACACGAATTCACCATGTCCCGTCCTTCCCCCCTCCCTCAAATGTTCAACCACAGTTCATGGCAACCTACGGCATCTCCTTCACCGACTTCAAGAACCAGCACATGCGCTTCCTCCCCGCTACCATCACCCCACCCGTCCCTTTCACCAACAACCCTGGCGTGTACAAGGACTCTGTCGCTGCCGTGCAGGTGCGCTTCGTGTGTGTGTGTGTGTGTGTGTGTGTGTGTGTGTGTGTGTGTGTGTGTGTGTGTGTGTGTGTGTGTGTGTGTGTGATTGCATGCATGTTTCCATGTTTACGTTGTGGTTTTTTTGTTTTTTGGACCAAATTGTGAGTGGCTCTGCGCTCTCTGTGTAGTTGTAGGCACATCTTGTGTCCCCCCCCTCCCCAAAACACCACAACACTCACTCACTCACACCATCACCCAAAACACACACGCACACGCACACACACACACACATGACCGCCGAAAAACAGTTCAACTTCACCTCGTTCCAGCAAGACATCATTGACGGTACCCTCGAGTTTGACTTCCGGATTGGCATTCAGTTTGACTATGGCCAGAACAAGCTGCAATCGGTTGGCCGCGGCTACCAGATCCTCGACGTAAACGTCAGGCAGTAACACGTCTCACACCGCCACCACACGCAGATCCGTGAACACACGCATGAGGGAGCAACCGAGCCTCGTCCCCGTGTTTCACGCGCAATCAACTAGTCGAAAACAGCCACCCCGCTTTGCTCGTCTTGTCCCTTTCTTCCCTTGAACGCAAAACCATCTTGCATGCTTTCTTCCATTCCTCCCTTTGCTGACCTAACACTCGGCACCTTTTGGTGTGTTGCAACCCAGTCCACCCAATCCACCCAGCCAACTCTTCTTCTTCATCTTCTTCCTTGCCACACGTGCACGTCTGTTGTCTGTGCGTTTTTGTGTCGGATGTTATCACCACAACGCGCATGTTGTGTCTGCTTGTGCATGTCCTTTACTACTACTCGAGCGAGAAATACAACCAATCTGCAAAAGCAACAGCGCCCAGCCACGAACGAGCATGCATGCATTAACTAACAATCAAACGCCGCCATGACAAGGCAACCAACAATACTCAAAAAGGAACTTGTGCATGGGTGTGATATGTGATCGACAATAAAGAAAGGAAGGAAAGGCGCGCAAGAGAAGCTCTCTTTGTCGCAAGGTCAAAAAGACATGGAACGAAATGAAAGAACAACATAAAGGGAAGAATGGGAAGCGGTTGTGTCAAACAAGCAATCAGACCATATAATGTAACACAACGGCACCACAATGGCGCACTAGCCAGTACAACACGAGCACACGCACTAGCACACACACTGGCACACACACACACACACATACACATACACACACACTCGCACGCACACACACACTCACAAACACACTCACACGCGGGCTATCACAGCATCTCAACATCATCGTCGTCGTCATCGTCATCGTCAGTGTCGGTTATGTAGTTGTATTGACGGCTGGGTGCCGAGATACCTGCGCCCTGAAGCTGCGGAACCGGTGACGTGAGCGATGACTCGGGAGACGTTGGCGACAGCCCAGAGGCTGTTCGCGGCGTCCCCTCGCCGCTGCCATGCTGCGACTGCTGCTGCCGCGCCTGTATGCGACGCTGCGCACTGCGTGTCAGCATGAGCATCGGCGCCCCACCATCAGATGTCGGCGTGGTCGTTCCACCACCAGTGCCGCTGCCGCCACTGCGCTGCTGCTGCTGCTGCTGCTGCCCACGCGACCCGCCGCCACGCCTGCTCAGCGATGCCGAGCGCGTTGACGACGCAGAGAGAGATGCAGGCGTTAACGCTGCTGCCGAGGGCGGTGTTGTCGTGTGCACAAACGACGGTGGCGCGGGCGGTGCCTCTGTCGGTGGTGACGACACGTAATTCATGCTTCTCGCGCGCTCACCGCCGCTCACGCCAGGAAGGCCACGTGACCGCACTGTGTTGCTGCTGCGCTTGGGTGTTGAGTTGCGGACCTCACCATCGGCAGCATACGGCCTGAACGCCCCACGTGTCCGCGGCGGGCTGTCCAAGACACGGCCACCATTACGGCTGTCTTCGTTGCCGCTTCGCATGTGTGCTGAGCGCTGCCTGTTGTTCACGCCGCCGCTGCTTGCCACCTCTCTCAAACCAATCGACGCCAGGCCCATGCCTGCACGGTCTTCCTCATCATCACCACCATCATCATCACCAGCAGCAGCATCGTCACTGTCGCCCATGCCACCTCCACGTCGTCGGCTGACACCGACCGCACGGCTGTAGTTGGCGGCCAACAGCGCTTCGTGCTGCGGCAGCAAACCAGACACGTCGTTCTCCAGGTCAAGCTCAACATCGCTCACCTCATCCACCACATCTTCGTTACAGCTGGCACCAGGTGCAGCAGGTGCAACAGCGGGTTCACGCGTGTTGCCAGCACGGCCATCACCGCCACTTTCAGTACCATCACCGCCACCAACACGGAAAACAGCGTCGTGCATGTGACCTTGGCCTTGTGTGGGAGACTGGGCGCTCATGCGGCGTGCATACTGCGCCTGTAGCACATCCACGTCCAAGTCCACTTTTCCGCCGTGCTTTTGCTGATGCTGTGTAGTGCCATGTGCATGTACACCATGAACACGTGTGGCTTCTTCTTCTCCCATTTCTTCTTCTTCCCCTTCGTCCTCCTCAAGCAGCGGCTGCATGGTGTGTCTGCCAGCAACACCGCCACCACGCACCCTCACACTGCCACCACCACCATGATCGCCATCGCCATCACCACCCTCCTCCTCCTCCTCCTCCTCCTCCTCGTCACTCAACAGGCCCAGATCCCTCTTCATCGCTGTGAGCTGCTCAAGCGCCGTCTCCTGCACCTGCGACACCGTAGCCTGCGCACGCTGCATGGCATCCGCCAGCTCTGTCGACACAAAGTCGCTCGCACCGTCCTCGCTCATCGCAGCATCGTAGATGGATGGCATGGACCCCATCTCAAACACATCTGCCTGCCGCATGCTGTCATAGCTGTCCGTGATGCTGGGTCCGTACACCTGCTGATCAAACGCGCCTCCCTGAGGAGTAGACAGCCCACTGCGAAGAAGCGGTGGCTGATACTGCTGCTGATACCCGCCACCAGTGCTGCTGCTGCTGCGGCTGTGTGGGCGGGCAAAACTGTTCCTGCTGCTGTTGCGTGAGCGTGCATCGCCCTCGCCCCCGTCTTCAGGCACGGGCTCGAGCTGCAGCACGGGGCGCGAGGATGTGCGGCCACCAACAGCACCGGCGCTCGCACGGCCAGAGTCCTTGGCCGCATCGAGGTAGCTCGACTGCCGCATGCGCACCTGGTTGGCCAGCGTGCGCGCCCGCCACCCTTGCAGCAGGTAGTGGCGCCTGTCTGGCGAGTACAGCGCATACGCGACGACGCCAATCAGCAGCACCCACACGACACCCGCACCGGCCCACAGACCGCCAACGGTGGAGGCGCACGAATCGTTGCCTTGGCTGGCGGCGTTGCTGCCTTCTCCACCTTCTGCCTCGTTCTGCTGCTGTTCCTGCTGCTGCTGCTGTTGCTGTGGTAGTTGCGGGAACCACGCCCACTGCTGCGGTGTTGCCATGGCTCGTCCAGCCACATCTGTCGCCTGCACATCGACCGTCCACAGTAAATCACGCAAAGCAGCGACACCCGTAGGCACCACCACCTGCGTCGTGCCAGCATCAGACACGGTCACATCACCCTCGTTCACGCTGCTGTCAGCCATGCTGAGTTGAAGTGTTGGGGTGCACATGGCCCACTCGCTGTCAAACACGGGCAGCGAAGGTCCCAGCTGCTGCTGCTGCTGCTGGGACGATTGCACATCATTAAGCAGCGCTTGTGCACACGCGGCAAACGCCGTCTGACACACACCGCTGCCAGCAGCGTGAGCGAACGATTGTGTGCACATGGGCGCGGATCCAAGCGTGCATGTCGGGCTTGTGTTCCCGGTGCCGACCTGCTCCAACTGCTGCTGCTGCTGTTGTTGTTGTCGATCCTGCTGGCAACAGGTTGTGTTCCATGCAATATCCCACACACGCACGCGGCACTTGAAGGAGGCAACTTGCTCGCTCAAGGCAACGCGAATGTCAATGGGAAACGCAGCGGCACCCACGGGCTGCCACCCCACAAAGAACGGGGACAGTGACGGCGGCTGCACAAACGAGATCTGGGGAGGACCCACGTCCACATGCACGCCAAAAGTCTCGCTGTGCGTCAGGAACGCTGGCGACGCTGATGACGACTGGGCGGCAGTGGCATCGGCAGCCGTGGCGTCAAAGGAAAGGCTCAGATCCACCCACCCATCACCACGGTGGCCGCTGCCCCCGCTGCCATCACCACCAGCAACAAGCGAGACAACAGACACATCCGCACCTTGCCCGGCTGCACGTGCAGAGCACACGCTGGCATCCGTGGTGGTGCTGCCGTCAGTACCACCACACGTGACGCTTGCACCACCAACAGACGCAAGCGCCTGTACACTGCCACCAGCAGTGCCACCCGTATCATCGCCATCACTCCCACCATCCAGAATGATGAGATTGGAGGTGATGCCAATATCCAACACATCCCGCACGACACGAACAGGTGCTGTCACTTCGCGCGCTCGGTTTCCGGCTGCATCCACACTGCTGATGGTGACGACAAACGTCCCTTCATCAGGGACCACCAGCATCAGCTCGTGTGTTCGTGGGAAGGGCAGCTGGATTTTTCTCAGTGCATCGAGGCTGTCAGTGTCATCGCCGCCGTTGCTGCTGCCGCTGCCGACCGGCCCTGCAGAGACAGGTTTGCATGCCTGTGCCGATGCTTGTGCCAGGTCGACGGCGGTGGCGTTATCAACAGCAACGGTGTGCGACGTGATGTTACACGGCACAGCTGCTGCCTCGCTGCCGCCCTGCACACGCAGCGTGCACGTGACGTCAGGCAACAGCTGCGCAACGCCGCACGCAGCATCGCTTGCAGACGAGGGAAAGCCGCCATCCTCTAGCATGTAGACGATGCGCACAGTGCGAGTGTTCAAGTCCGCGACCTCCATCGACTGGAGGGCCAGCACGGGTGCCTGTGTATCCAGACACATGGGCAGTGCAAACGACGTGGCGTTCAAGCGCGCTGCCTCTGCTGCACTTGCGTTGACGCCCGTCTGCCCAACTGGCAGCAGCACAGCACAAGCGCCAATATCATCGCGCACACTATTGGCGCTGTCTCCATCACACACAACGCTGTTGCCCAGCACTTGGGACTGCGCTGTGTTTGCCTCAAACGTGAGCAGCAGGCGGGGGTGTGTTATGATGTTCACGCCCGCGGGCACATCCACGGACACAACGGCTTCGCTGAAGGCATCATAGCCGATGCGTGCCGTACACGCGAGGCCGTCACCACCACCTGTTGCTGTTGTGAGGGCAGCAGCGGGGAGAATGGAGCACGCAAGCCGTCGCTGCAAAGGACGGAGATCAGCAAGCTCAGCATTTGCCGCCAGCGTGATGGTCGATGGATACGCGCGCACATATGCGCTCGCCAGCGGCGCTGTCACGGGCGAAGACGAGGGGGATGAGGACGATGAAAGGTCCGAAAGTGGCAGAACGACAGGCGTTGCGCCACCACGGTCGCCCCAAGACGCCAGCACGTGTGCGTGCGAAGACGTGAGCATGGGCTCTGTGTTCACAACAGCAAGCGTGAGCGTGAAGCGGAGCGGCGCCATCAAGACCGCCGCGCCAGTAGCGCCATCAGCACCCACAGCCGTGTCGGTCAGCACCTCTGACTGCGTTGCCTGCGTGTCCGTGCACATGACGGTGACGGTGACAGCATCTGCAGCTTCGAAATCCAAGCGGCGACCCAGCACAACATCAGCCAACGGAGCAAGGCGGCTGCTATTGGACCATTGTTCTTGTTGCTGCTGATGCTGTTCTTGTTGTTGCAGTGAAGACGCAGCCGCCGTGAATGTGAGGATGGGCACATCCACTGCATCCAAGGTCTCTTCGTTCACGCCGGTGCTGTCACCAACACTGCCACCACGAAGACAGCGCCACGCTGCTTGCGTGCTGTTCCATGTCCACAGCTCGCATGTGTCCTGCCAGCACGTCAGCGAAGGCAGGGCGGGAGCAGAAGCGTCGCCGCCAGCGGTGGTCATGGACGCAAACAGCGTACCCAAGCGCATGCCTGGTTCAACACTCTCCGATACGACAAATTGCGGCTGCGTGCACACTGCGTCATGACTACTGCTGTTGCTGTTACTGTTGCTGTTGCTGTTGCTTGTGGCTGAGGTGGCCGTGTTTGTCGTCGTGTTCATGTTGGATGTTGTGGATGAGAAAAGTTGCACCCCCTGCTGCGAGTTGATGACGCGGCAAGCGCATGTGCTCGCACACTGCTGCGTCAAAGCGTCAAGAACACCCCGCGGTGCGCACGTGTTGCCAACAACACGGGCGGCTGCCTCTGCACTCGCTTCACCGTCCATGGCACTGCTGCTGGAGCTGCTGCTGCTGGTTGTGGTGGTTGAGCCTTGGCCCACAGTCTCCTCGTCATATCCAAAGAGCACATTTAAGATTGGCAAGCGACAGCGACCGGCAGCGTCGGTGGTGCTGCTTGGCGCCTGCAGGGCTGTTGCCAAGCAGGATTCAAAGCGCTGGATGGCAGTGCAGTTGAGGGCTGCATCTGTTGCTGTCGCTGTTGTCATTGCTTCAAACACGGTGTCCCCAAATGCAGCACGGACACACGTGTCCACAACAGCACTGCAGTTGCTTTGCTCGCACAGTGCCACCTCGTACGCTGGTGTTGCTGTATTTGTGCCGGCGTCTTGCGTGGCGATGTTCTCGCCTGTGGTGCTGTTCACAGTACGGCCCGAACAAACTGCGGCTGCGGATGACGGGGTTGGCAAGTGCCACGGGTACGGAACGTGTGCCGTCTCCCCATCTTCCTCGAACAGTAAGCCTGCTGGCGTGGTCGTTGCAGGGGAGAGAACAAGCTGCAGTCGTGGCGCAACGCTGACTGTCACATTCACTGTTGCCGTGAGCCCGCTCATATCCCGCGCCGTGACAGTGGCGGCAATGCTGTCCCCAACGTGCGCGGGAGTACTGGCCGTCAGCGACACCACATGCTGCACACCAGCATCTCTCGCCACATCCGCAGCAACGCCGTGCGCACCACCACCACCGCCACTGCTTGCTTCCACAACCGCCACAGCTAGCGTGTCGGCGGCACCTGTTGAACACAGCAGGTGGTCCGCATTCGTGTCTGACAGCGGCAACCGCGCAAACACAACTGGTGCTGTTGCTGTTGCTGCATCTGCTGTTGCTGCTGTGAGGAGCGACTGTGTTGGTGTGGCAAGGAGAGGGCCATAGCTGGTGATGTGGATGACGGGTGGCGTTGCAAACTCAGGCGGGCGCTGTTGTGTTCCGCACACGTCCACACGCACGCGGCTCGCGTCAAATCGTTGTGAGACAATGTCGTGCGCCCCGAGTTGCACATGCACAACAGCAGGCACGCTCAGCAGGAGCGAAGACAAGGATGGCAACTCTGCTGTGGCTGAGGCGGTCGACAATGTCGTGCTTGCAAGCAATTGCAGATGGGGCGACGTGGTGTCACCGCTACCATCGCCATCATCAGTGACAACAACGCCAAGCGTCAGCCCCAGCGACTGCAACGCGTCAAGGCCCGACTCTACAGGCACAGATCCAGCAGTGCCAGACACTTGGGAAGACTGTGGCGTTGGCTGGTCGAAGAGTGGAGCGTGCAGGCGGATGACATATGGCCGCTGCGGGTGATTTGATGCGATGTTCACGCCAACAGCGGCAGGAGCCACTGCTGTGGGTTTGCTGGCGTTGATGGCTGCTTGCGCCACAACGGCATCGCTAATCACGGGGAATGGAGGGTCCGACACAAATGCCGGCGCAGCGTTCACAAGCACGCACGGCGGTGCTGAGGACGTTGAAGTCGAGGAGGTGGAAGTGGGGGTGGAGGTGGTCGACGAGAGTTGTGGTGTGCACCCATCAACCCTCTCGTTGTTGGCGCTGTTGCAGCTGCACAGTGCGATAGAGACCTGTGCAATCTCGCTCAGCGTCACGACAGCACTGCCAGCAGCGGTAGCCCTTGCATGTGTCGATGACAGGGTGTCATCAAGGAACGAGACAACGGCACTGGACTGGAATGCATGGCGGACGCTCCAGCCGCCACGCGTTGCCAGCAGTGACGGCAGCGGCGCTGCAGACGGTGACGTGGAGGCCGACTGCAGCCACCACCGCTGCATACCTGACGCGTCTGCGAACGCTTTGGTACGTTGAGGGGCAGCAAGGGTAACAGGCACAAGCTGCAGCGTGCGGCGAAGACGGTTCACACGCGTCCACGCCACCACACGCCCTGCGTCGGCGGTGGCGCTGGCATACAGGTCAAGAAGCGTTGCCTGTCCGCGTGGGAGCTCATTGTTCCCATCGCCTGCTGTAGTTGCACGCCAGTCGCCAACAACAGATTCAAATCTCCCGGCACACAGCTCGTGCCACGCCCCACCGCCCTCAGCGTCATTGCCTGTTGCGGCCCGCCGTTCCTGCGCAAACAACTGCACCACCGTTGCCTCGAGCGACGTTGGTGACGACAACAGCGCACTGTGTGCTGGCGTAAGGTGGACCGTGACTGTAGATGATGGTGACGCGTCGGCACTCTGACCACCCGTGACGCTTCGTGTGGAATACGCCTGGGCGATGGTGAGCGAAATGGCATGTGACACGACACCGAGTGAACTGCCGCCGTTGTTGTTGTTGGTGTTGTTGTTGTTGTTGTTGGTGTTGTTGTTGTTGGTGTTGTTGTTGTTGTTGTTGTTGGTGTTGTTGGTGTTGTTGTTGTTGGTGTTGTTGTTGGTGGTTTCATCGTCTGTGCTGGTGTCGTCGTCAACATTGTCGCTCGTGTTACTACTGGTGGTGCTGGCGTTTCCTATCGCTGTTGCCCCATCGCTCCACACGCGTGCTTGGAAGGAGAGGGCGTCAACAGTGCCGCTGCTGGTGAGCGCAGAGATGACACGCTGAGACAGCGTAACCTTAAACTCAACCGCAGCAAGGGCACCCGTGCTTGGGGTTTGTGACGCCGCTGTGGGCGATCGACAGCCCGCTGTTGTTGCCGTCGCTGCTGCTGTTGCAAACGCAACGCCAAATCCGCCGGCACCATTCACCACGGCCAGCTGCTGTCGACTCAATTGGGATGATGACTCTGCAAGTGCCGCTGCGCTGGTTGTGGGGGACGCGTGTGGCGGTGCAAGCACAGTGACAGCGCCCGACTGCGATGTCGACCGCCCACGCAGTGCCAGCAACTGTGCCGGCGCTGTGGTGTTGTTGCTGGTGTGCGGAGCGGTGAGAGCGCGGGTGAGGGCAACTGCTGTATGGGCGTCGCACGTGCGCACAACAGTTTGGCCAATGGACCCATGCACACGAAGCAAAGGAGAGCGACCGGAAAATAGGGCATCATCATCGCCATCATCACTCCATCTGCTGCCGTTGTAGCTGCCTGCTGCTGCTGCTGTCTCGTTGGGCAGCAAATACACGTCAAGCACGCTATCCTCCATGGCCACGCCAGCAGGCGTGCTCCGCATCACAGTAACGGCAAAGGAGGCGCACACATTTGCTGTGGTGGTGGTTGCAGTTGTGCTTGTGGTGGTAGTTGTGGCTGTGGACGGATTGCGCGACAGGGGCATGACCTGTGGAAGTGCTGACGGTGATGTATATGAGCTCGCACGGTGGTTTGCCGCATCAGGCAGCCGCTGGGCCAGAACAACGGCACGAGGGCCCACGCTGGATGACGATGATGATGACGACGACGACGACGATGATGATGATGATGATGAAGAGGAAGACGAGGAGGATGGGTGAAGGGGAATGGCGTGGGACCACGAGGCAGCGGCTGTCGCTGGCAGTGACACATCCGCGCTGGGGAAATTGCCAGGTGTGCATGCAAGCACGCCACTCTGTTCAACCACTGACAACGATGACGACGATGGCGGTGGCGTGATGGTGAGTGTGACAGCGCAAGTGGCGCCACCACTGCCTGCGATGCAATCGGCAGCAACGAGCGCGGCGCTGTGTGAGGGCGGGATGTGCGCTTGCCACTGGTGCTCAGCAACAGCATCCAATGCAACCAAGCCACTGCCAATCGTTAGATGCACAGTCATCAACGAGGGTGAGCAGCTTTTACTCGAAGTGTCGCTGTCACCGCTGTCACCGCTGCGCTGCGTGTGCACATGTGCAGATATGGAGCCATCGGTGTTCAGCTGTGCGGACACAATATGCCAGTCATTGTCGAATGTGGTGGTAGTGGTCACTTGGCTGTCCGTTGTCACCACCAGTCCCACACACGTGTGTTCGACAGCCTCTCCTGCTGCTGATGTCGAACTTGATGATGATGATGATGATGGTTGCATGTTCTGGGAGGGCGCGGCAAAGGGAAGCAGCGCAGGTGTGGCCACGCTCTGCAGGTGTGCGCTCGCATTGAACGACGACGACGCCGCTGTTGCTGATGCTGTTGTGGATGACGCATCGGTGGTCGCCACACCATCATCCTCGCCGTAGAGTGCAATGAACGGCTGTTGTTGCTGGTACTGTTGCCGTGCGGAGCCAGCACCACCATCGTCGACACCACCACCGCCAACAGCCAATGGGTGGTAAAACGGCGGCGAGGCAAAAGCGGCGAGGGCAATGTGTGCACCGCGCGTGTTGGCGGGACTCGGGGCTGCCAGGAGCACGCTGACGGTGTCAAGCGCACTCAAGTGGGCATCAAGCGCTAACACAGACGCCACGTGCTCGTGCATGGCTGGCAGTGTCGAGGATGACGATGATGATGATGATGATGATGACGACGACGATGATCCAGTTGGTGTATTGGCGGTGTGTGATGAGTTGCTTCGAATTGGTAGCGGAAGCGCGGATGTGATGGGAAGACGGAGCACCGTTCTTGACACTGGCGCCCCCTCAATCATCACAAGTCCGTTTGCTGTGCCCCACACGCGCATCCCGCCACGTTCCGCACTGCCAACACCGCCGACAATACCGCTGGCGCTGCCAGCACCACCAAGGGACCACGGCAGCGCGCGGTGCGTTCCTGTCATCATGACAAGCGTCGATGATGATGTTGTTGTTGATGAAGATGATGATGATGCTGACGACGATGCGTTGTGAAAGCGGGAAAAGGAGAGGGAGAGGAGGGGCGTTGATGTGGTGATGGCCGATGATGATCCCTCAGCTACAGTGGCTGAACCGGTGTCCTTGGTGTGTGGTGCGTCTGGTGCGCTGCCGGGCACAGTTGGACACGTGCACGTGGTGGCATTGCACATTACGAAAGCAAGCGTGCTGTTGCTGCTGGTATCGTCGCTGCTGCTGTTGACATTGCTGCTGGTGACATTGCTTGATCCCGCCCACGCCCAAGGCAACGACGATGCGAGTGGTGCGAGGACGTCGTGAGCAAAGTGCACATGAACGGTGCTGGTGTTGACACTCTCAAGACCGACACCATCGCTAACAAGCACGACTGCTGTGGCATGGGCTGCTGCTGCAACTGCTGGATCGATGTCGCCAACACATGCACTTGAACCCGAGAGGGTGGAAGCAAACGCCTGGGAACGAGGTGGTGCAACGCCCATCCACACCGCAGCAAGCTGCCCAGCATCATCACCGCCAACATCACGGTCGCCGTTGAGATGATTTGAAAATGGCGGCGAGCTGTCGCGTGAGAGCACAGCGGTGGTGGTTGCAGCCGACACCGCATCCAACACGTGAGTCGGGGCGCGTGTGTAGAGGGGAAGCGAAAGCGTCACAGGCGTCGACGCAGCAGCTAATGATGGTGGCCCTGTCATGGTGAGACGCACGCGGCATGCCCCCTGTAGAAGAGGAACGAGTGCGGACGATTCGGAAAGATCTTCAAAGATAACAGCTGTGGTCCACAGGCTTGCGCCAGCCGCTGACATGCGTGCGGGGAGTGCTGTTGTTGTCGTGGCGGTTGCGGCTGCCATGGTGGTGGTGGTGGCTGGCGTGCATTTGAGGGACACCTGCAGCTGTGCTGTTGTTGGTACAGCATCCCAGTGCAGGTGAACAGCCAGGGCGGAACGCAACATGTGCTGTCGCCACATCACTGCACGTGCGTGCACGCTGTGCGTGCGGCCACCGACCGTGACTGTGGCTGGGGAGGAGAGGGCGGTGACGCCACGTGGGAGGAGCGCGCGTGCAATAGTGGTCTGAGGCGAAGAGAGGGGCCCGACAGACACAATCACGGCGAGAGACGCGGGGGTGTTGGGCTGCTCGCACAGTGCAGCTGGCACGGCCACAATGCAGGAGGCGTGCGTGGTTGTGGCGGACACAACAATGGCAACACCACTCCACACGCGTTCACCTCTATCACTGGAGGACAGTAACACCTCCACGTCCAGCAGAGACGCTGCTGCAGTGCTGTCATAGCTGTACGTGGTGTTGTTGTTGTTGTTACTGCTGCTGCTGCTGGTGCTGCTGCTGTTTGCGGAACCTTGCATCATGACGCCATTCCACTCGCCAGTAATGTTGAAAGGAAGCAGCACCAGCCCCGCAAGCGCATCAACGGCTGCTGTTGCGCCGTCGCCGTCGCCACTGCCGCTGCCACCGCTGCCATCTACGTCTTGGTGCGCCAGTTGTGTTGCGTTGGCGATGAGCGATGCGAGTGATGCCGGCACTGCGAGCGGCGATTGGAAGTAGAGGTGCGGCAGCCGCGCTGCTGGTGGCGGCGCATCAACGCGAACCGTCGGGGCAACGATGATTGGAACGGCATTGCTCGCCACCCCGTCAACATGGACAGTGAGCAGCAGCTGCGTGTCTGCGACTGTGTTGTTCATGTCAACCTCCACCGTGGCGTGCGTATCGTTGATCGCGCGCACATATCCGCACACGTCAACGCCATCCCCATGAAAGCGCGCGGAGCACAGCGGCAACAGCACTGGTGACGGCGACGACGACAGTGGAGGTGGGGGTGGTGCTGATGGTGGCGCGTCGCGAGGGAAGAGCGCTCTTCCTTCAAGGAGCAGCGTCTGGTTGCTGGTTGGGAGCAGCACGGGTGTCGCTGGCATTGTGCCAGTGCTCTCATTCTCAATTTCACTTGCAGTGGTAGTGGTGGTGGTGGTGGCTGTGGTGATGACGGGGCGTAGCACGAGGGGAATGCGTGTGGTGGACACAACGTCCACATGGCCACGTGGACACACGTGAACAGGGAGTGCAACGTGGCACCGCATGGCACACGCCAGTGCGCTGGTTGTGTTGCGAGCATTCAAGCCGTTGCTGTCTGTCGTGATATTCAGCAGCGGCGCGTGAAACAGCGGTGCTGTGATGTTTGCAGACGTCACGTGCGCGTATGTCGTCAAGAGGAACAACAGCTGTTCATCCGTGCTGGTACTGCCGTTGCTGCCATTGCTGTTGTTGCTGTCAGTGCTGGTGGTGCTGTGATTCACACTGGTGCCAACACCAACCAGCCAACTGTTGGGTGCTGTGGGAGTGCTTGCTGTAGCATTATCATCATCATCATCATCGTCACCACTGCTGGCTAGAGAAGCGATGTGCTCGCATGCAGATCCGTCGTCGTTATCGCCGTGATTTTGAATGGAGAGTGCGGGCACCGTGCCTGCAAGCACGCCATCCCTGTATGAGAGGGCGGTGCCTGTGAGGCGGACGGGGAGGGGCGTGTCGATGGGCGCTGGTACCGCCGCTGCTGAAATCGCCGCCACCTCTGGCGCACCTGCATGTTGCGGATGTGCGTCATGCGTGCGTGTGCGTGTGTGTATGTGCGTGTGTGTGTGTGTGTGTGTGTGTGTGTGTGTGTGTGTGTGTGTGTGTGTGTGTGTGTGTGTGTGTGTGTGTGTGTGTGTGTGTGTGTGTGTGTGTGTGTGTGTGTGTGTGTGTGTCGGTGCGTCCGCGCGTAAAGGCGGGTGCATGATCGACTTGACCTTGAACGCCGGCGAGACGTCTGGAGGCAATCGCTGGTGCGGCAGAAGCTTGCGACAATTGACTCCTCACCCACCAGCTGCATCAGAGCCAAGGTCGCATAATGACTTTTGAAATCG